TATAACATTTTACGCCGTTGTTCCCGCCTGACGGACAATTTTGAGCTTCATCAGGTAAAAAATCCCAGTATTTTAGCCAAGATTTAGGAAATTCATCATGCCATTGCTTTCTGAAACCACTTCTCCTTTCTTCTGTTTATGAAATACCGTAGGGTTTCTGTTTTATCCGTTTTATTCTAGTTTAATCATGGGAACTTGCAGGTTACAGTAAGCAAGATGTCAGTCGCACTTCAGACGCATCTGCTCGGTATGTGCATACATTTGATAACCTGCCGAGCCCATAACGACGGCATTGGCCAACATTTCTACGGGCACTTGTTACCCAGCGATGGGATCTATTTTTGGGAACCTCGTTAAACTCGTCGCAGCCAATCAGCTTCTGGGACTCCGTGGGGTGTCCCGTTGCCAGCTCGGTATGAATAGGGCCGTCGCGTGGCCGACTTACCCGCCACGTGCCAGGCGCACGACCCGCCTCGCCCAACTATAGCAACCGCGGCGCGTAGATTCATTAAAAATGTTTGCGCTGGTTTCCACAATGGATGGATTAAAGTCCATGTCATTCAGAGTTTTCAACGAAACCCTGCACTATCCCCTAGTGGAGCTTCTCCAGATGATCACCGTACAATCATGTCTACTTGACACACTGTTTTTGTTAAGTTATGGGAGACAAGACAATAATAAGGATGTCTTGTTTGGTTTGTCCCACCACACGTCAAGGAGAAAGCAAGTCTTGGTCTCATTATGCGCCTTATTGGCGCAGCTGCCAGGGTGCAGACTGCAGAGGAAAACACCCCTAAATCCCTTCACCAAATTGAGACGGAGTTTCCGGTCAGTCCGTACCCCCTTTTTAAATTAAAGACACAGCACATTTTATGAATAACATGAATCAAGCCGGGAAAAAAGGATCATAAATACCAAAAGAGAATGCGAGGGGAAATGCAACCTTGCAGTTTGATCCAGAACCGGAAATCAATTGTATTAAACGGGGGTCAACGTACATTGACCAATTTGGTAGGTTAGGCCCAAAAAAAGAGGCACCATATACCTTTTTGTTTAATGGGAACAGAAGTTTTTTGTGTGCTTTGATGGTATACATGGCAGTACATTTAATAATAATGATAATAATAATAATAAGCGCCAAATTGCCAAAGGATACAAGGCGCTTATTATTACCCCTGCTCATCGGGCCAATGAAACATTCCAAATACCATCTCAGCTCCCTGGGGAGTATACTGCTCGATGCTACCATTTCGGCGCAAAGCAGCTAAATCACACACAATATCCATCTCTGCCCTCACTGTAACTTCAGTGTAACATTGGGAAGTTTGTGCGGGTACGTTCCTCTGGTATATGAAAATTGGTAGACAGTATTCACAAACGTCCATGCCATTTTGGTGAAAACGCTGTCAACCAAAGATAACTTGGCTTGTTAAAAACAAATAGGTACACGAAATCATGGTGATCCGTTACTAGCTTCCAGAAACATAATGAGTATTTTATTTTAAGTAAAGAAAGGCCAGGAAAGGTTAGAAGAAAACTTCAAGAAACTGTCCAAGAATCGAAACGCTTCAATGTGGGCGTTGTTGGCCCTAAACAGGTGCCGGGGATTATTGGTCGCTATCGTATCCTGTTCCCTTATCGATAATATCGATCTGCTACTCAAGCATCCAATAACAAAAACCCTAGACCGATAAAAAAAAATGGGAATGATTAATAGCCTCTATCCATGTCTAAATATAACCTGCTGCCCAATGTTCATGCAGGCGCGCAGTTCGCTTGCAACAGACTATGGATATCTGATGTTCACGTTTCAGACCATTGGAAGAACATTAATAAATTGGATACATGTCGCTGTCGACGGCCAAAAAAATTGATAAGGGCGAATATTAAAACGTTCAGAGAACACATTCTGGCAATACATTCTTTCCAATCGATTTTGTTCTATGTCTGTTTCGGTGTAAAGACAGCGGGTACCATTACAATTATGCACAGATGTTCACTTCACGAAAACTTATCAAGGTAAAGTAAACATGCCGGTAGAGTGATCGCCTCTCACCCCTCCGGAGAAACACCTTTCTAGCCTGATATTGTGGTCCAATTATATTGTACCCCGTTGTCAAACTGACGGGAATAGTCGTGTTAATGGTATTACTGATAAACTTTTTTTCAGAACAACATTTACTATTAGGAACATTGAATAATACATGTTTAAATTTCCCATCAAGTTTTAAATTCGGTTTTTAAAACTTAAAAAGGAAACTTTGTTAAACTTAGTTAAAGCCAAACCAGGCAAACTAAATTAAACCTGTTATGTTTTATAGTTTCTGCTGTTAGTAGGTTCGAAATAAAATTGCCGCGCGAATGATTTGCAGCGTCAAGTGAGTTACCTTCAACAATAAATATTTAGGGACGGCGCGTTCAAATTTGGACGTCTGATGAATTATCCTTGTTTTAAAATTATATGTCTGTGGCCAGATGTTATGTGAAGGGAGGGTAATTGTCTTGACCTTCGCCCGTCGAGTCTCGGTAGTTTGCTCGATGGGGAGTGTTCCTTCTCCTTCATACCGCTCCACCTGCTCTCAACTGCCTAGACTATTCTACTCTCGCCAATTAGTCTGGTCATACTTCCATGACCTTGTCAATACTTGCCCGGTGCCTAGAAGGAAGAGGACCATACTTGGACCCATATTTATAGTGCATTGTTGGTATGTTGAAAACAACTTCTATATGACCGTTATAATTATTATCAATTAGGCCTTTTTTTAGCGTTTTTCAAACAGGTAACTGCTGTAATGAATCGTTGGTCCTTCGAAGAAAAAAAACCACCACAATACACAAAGCAACAGATATATATGAAGCGTCAAAACTATGTAAATTTCTTTTTCACTTGAAATTCAATTTAATTTTTTTTAAGGTAACAAATACCATGGAAACCTTTTGATGTTATTATTTTGTCTTGTGTCAATTTTTTAAGGTAACAAATACCATGGAAACTTTTTGATGTCATTATTTTGTTTTGTGTCAATTTTGAATCTTTTTTTTTTTTGGCGACGGCAAACAAAAAGAAAAGCGTTGTGTTTTGCATAAATTTGTTCATAATATCATTTATCAATACTCTACCCATGCACTTAAGCTTATTTTGTTGTTTTGTGTTGGAAAAAAATCAAACTTCTTTTAAAAGTATCACACAGAATCAACCTTCAGAAAATTGAGCTCATTTTGAAGTTCCTCAGCTCAAATCTCAGCTAACGACCCACTTTTCCCGACGTGTGCACGTTCCGTTCCGAGACACATTCCGAGGCCACTCTCGCTTGCCTTTGTACCATTGCCAGACAATACTGTCTCTCCCACTGTCTACTGCAGCCATTGTTATCCGAACCCATCTTCGCTTGGTAAAATAAGTTATTTTTATCAGAACAAGGTTAAATCCATAAGGTTTGATTGGTGCATAATGCGATTTGACAGGAACGAACTCTTTTTAAGTATTTGTACACGTGCCAACAGGTGCGTGTTTGGTCCCCCCTTGTTTCCATATCAGTGTGAAATGATAATAAATGCGCGTGTCATTGCGCAATTCTGTACCTTCCAAATTCTAAACCCTGGTATCATATTTTCGAAAGTTGTGTGTGTTTTTGAAATGGGTTCGATATTTGAATGTTTTTGTGTTACCGTTTGCGCTATAAAAACAAACACTTATTGTTTGTGGTAATCGCAAACAATTGTTATTTGTTATGAACAGGTGCAGGGCCCATTGATGTCTCGATCTGAGAGCGAAACTGATTTTCCCGATTGTCTGATTGTTACACTTCGGTTTCTGTAAAAAATTGCGTACTGTGGCATACCAGCATTTTGTCCCTTCGTTATTTAAATTTAGCGAAGTCTGCTTAATAATCAAACACGACCATTTTCATTGGTTTTTATGTGCAAGTAGCTTTACTTGCCATTCATACGGTGGTAGGGGTTCCGAATTTTAAAAGGATTGCAAAAAAAGCAAAGTTGTACTTACACCATGCAAAGCCTCAAATCTTATCTAATAAGTTTTCCCACACAAGGAAAAAGTGCACCGATGTGACATAAACTGCTATATACGATAAGCCAATTAGCGTTTGTTGACCTTAGTTTACCTTCGGGCTATAATTAGCATGAGAATAGCGCGTCAACCATATTACTATTCTTATAAGTTATAATAGTGTGGACTACTGTTGCCACGACAACTGTTAATGAGTGGTGGATTTCAAGAGTTCTTCACTTCTATCTCGCAAAATAAATAGCGTGGAGATAGTGCAGTGAATGGATGGGAAAACTACTAATGTACTCGGGTAGAGTTCAAGAACATGGACGGTTGTGTATAGGTGTTATTGCCAGGATCTTGCGATTGGATTGTAGGCGTTTTCTGAACAGTCATAAGCATCCATCAAAAACGCACTGAGTTTGTTTTTGACTAAACTTTGGACGTCCTACCTTATCCACAATTTTATTTATTGAACATTTTTTTCAAAGTTTCCAGAAATAATGGCTTCTATGATCTGTCAGTTGAAATCTTACCGAATATATGTTTGAATACTGGGTTATGCCGATGGGAGTTTATTGCAACCCAAAAGCGGGGCCGACAGGCAGAGCTCGCCAAAGAAGCGCACCGCCAACTTTAGTTTATCTCTTATTCAGATGATTTATTAGTTTTTATTTCAAATCATAGTAGGCTATACTTGTCTTTTATCCTCACAGACGCCGAGTCTTGTCTCTAAAAGCAGTCGTCTTACCGCTTACGGATTTAAACGTAACCTCTGTATAAGATTTCCATTCTGTTTTTATTTTGTTAAAAAGGAAACTTGTGAAAGTCTGCACCTAGTTTTACCACTTTACTTTGCCTTTGAAATCTTGTTCGACAATGAAAACTCCCGTAACAGTTTTGCCCACACCTTGCCATTGTTTTCTTTTGAGTTTTATGGCAGCAAACCTTGTAAAAGCTAATTGGCTATGATTTTGATTTGTATCTTCAGGGAAGAAACTTTGGATTAATCCCAAAACTAGCCGTACGTTTGTGGAAATCGGAGGAAAAGGGTAAGCCACAAATTTGCAATGTTTTCTAAAAGGAAACTTAACGGGGGTGCGTGTTGGTGCCTGGAACAGCCCGTGCTCCATAGATACCAAAACCTGGAACGACCCCGAAAAGAACCTTTATCAACCGAGTGCCAATCATGTACCCCTGTTCAGACCTGCCACGTGCCGCGGTTTTTTTTTGGTACAAGCCACGCCTATGTACGCGAGTGGTAGGCGCGCTGCATTATTCATGGGGTGTTTGCAAAGGGGACATGCCGCGATTCTTTGGCACGCGACTATCCATATACCCTAAAAATTACGAGGAAAAAAACATTCCTCAAAAAAGGGAAACGAATCCGAAATGTTGATCTTAAATTGCTTTTCAAGGAAGCGTTTCACTTTCGAAGCTGCAACCCCGAAAATAAGTTTTTCAGAATCTCACTTCCTGGTCGAAGTCAAGGGTTTTTTGGGGCACAGAAGGAAAGTACACTACCCGCGCGCAAAGCAATAACTTTTACGACCCTCGCTATTTATTTGTTTTTCTTTCCGTTGGTTCGTGTCCTCACACGAGAGAATCAGCAGATTAATTTGCAAGACGTACCGATAATATACTGGAGTCCGTCGAAAGATATTAAAATGTTACTGCTTGGCATAGTTCAGCGAGTTGTTCAATTACCCCTTCGTGGGGAGACTCCGGGGACGCGTTCGGCCCACAGATCAGTTTGGGGGATACAATCCCGGTACTCGATTTCACACGTGTGTCCACGGGAACAAGTTTATTCAGACGCAGTCCCAGGCTGCGGGGATTCAGTCCCAAGGGGGAAGGGGTAAGATGGGAAATGGAGGAAATTGGGAAGATGTTTTCAGGGATGACACTCGGGATGATCATGTGTTTCTCACTGCTTCTGTGTTTTATTACGATGTGATCGGACAATTAAGAAGGTGATCATAGTCCAACGAACACAGTGCCGGAGCTGCGATGTATTTTACCCGGGGATAACGCGCCGAAACACGGGCAAGGTGGCCTGTCCGCCCGCTTAATTTGTTTCGGTTTTAAAACAGGATACTGGAATTTTATCCAAGCAATTAGAGGGACTAAAACTGTAAGGTCTTTAACTGATGGCATATTGGTACATGACATGGAATCTTACTGAGACTGGACAAGCACGATGGAGTCAATATATGAGCAAATAAACACAAATCAGCAAACAAAACAGTCACGCTAAACAACAAAATACTTCAGCTTGTGAAATCGTTACGGTTGAAGAATTACGCTGAACGTGAAAGTGTTTTAAATGGTTAGATTCTAATATATCAGATCAGTTTGGATTTTTGGTGATACATTATTGTGTCTCAGTGTTTCATTAATTTATTCCATGGTCACTTTGTCACTTGCAAGTATAAGATTGAACATTCATTTGTAACTTTTTATTTGTCAAAACAGTATTAGTATTAGTTAAGCTCCACTTACGGTTAATTCAATAATTGTACCCAAGTTTGGAAGTGATCAATGTAAGCGCTGTATTTGCATTCTGAATATAGACATGTTGGTTCGTAAGTTATAATGAAACATCTCCCAAGTTTTCAACCACCAAACTTTCCCTGCCATTCCATGGAGGGCTTGAACTTGTCGAAAGGAACAAACGAAACAAATCTAAGTCGTTTGAAACGTTTCCTATTTTCCAGCGTTGTTTGTTCCAGAGTCAACCTTGATAGAATTATACGTGTCCAATCATTTTTGGGGGCCATGACCCCTTAACCCTGACCCCTCGACTCCGGGTGAAAGCGGTCCATGGAATAGTCCCACACCCCCGTCAGCATGTTATTGCGCCGCCTGGTGTCGAGCCCAGGCTACGCCACCTGCCCCAGACACTCTAACGTTTTATAGCCCCTCAAGTTTTAGAGCTCCGCTGGCGAAATAAAAGTTTATACCAACGAGGGGGGATTTGAAGTTCGATTTTTTTCGGGGGACCTCTGAAACAACCCTGGGTTTTTTTTTTTAGGGTTATGGGAAAGACATTGGAGACGTTAAAGGGCTGGAGAAGTTCAGTTTGAGCAGAGTTCAAGTTGTATTTGCAAGTGAAACTTGTAAACCATTCCGGGAATTAAAAGTTAATTTCACTACCGTCCTAAATGCCCCGTTTTTTTTACAATGTTCGTAGCTGTTTCGTACAAATCACTCAACACATTCGGTCCACAGTATGTTCACTGTAGAAACACATGATCCAAACACGCGTGGTTCATCTAAGTACATGTATACAAGGACATATTAAACTGCGCAGTATGTACAGTACATGCACATGTAAATGTACATTGTACATTGTACATGTGTACTGTACATGTGTATAGCAGCGGCCCTGTACATGTACATGTATAATCCACGATGACCCACACAGAATATTATGAGTCACCGATGCCTACAACTTCAACAGCGAGTTCTTTATTTTCATAACCGTAAGCACCGCCCACAGGAAACGGGGTGTGTTTATGCATGATCGCCTACTCTGATTGGCCGTAGAGGTATCGCTGCGTGACGTAGCGTTCAGGATAAATTGTTCGCGGGCCAATTTGGTACAATCATTCTGAGTCAAGAGAAAACACCTGAACGTTGTGTGCAATGTGTAACACAGTCACTGTAGCTCCGTGCGGGGCAGAGTTTTGAGTATCACACAACACTGCATTACTTCTATGAACTGACAACCAAATCACCTGTGCCCACACAACCTGCGTTTGGAATTTTTTCGTTCAGTCATTCCAATACCGTAAATACCTCAGTTTCATCCACGTATCTTCAGACCAGAGACGGGACACTGTTAAGAACCATGGTACCTCAGACGACGAGTTTAGGCTTGATCGGCAGCAGTCAATCCAGCGGTCCGAATTCGCCAGAGAGCAGCTCATCATCGGGCAGTGACTTGAGCATGACGGGCATCGATCTCGGTGCGATCTTGCAGCAATCTACGCTGGACATCGCCGAGGACATTTGCCAGACTAACTGGAAGGCTAATAACGGGCATATTAAGCGGCCCATGAACGCCTTCATGGTCTGGTCCCAGATCGAGAGAAGAAAAATCATGGAGACCCAGCCAGAAATGCACAATGCTGAGATCTCCAAGCGGCTGGGACGCCGGTGGAAAACCCTCAACGACATCCAGAAGAGTCCGTTCGTCGAAGAAGCAGAGCGACTGCGGCTGCTTCACATGCAGGAGTACCCTGACTACAAGTACCGACCCAGAAAGAAGGCCAAGCCCACCACCAAGCAGGAGAACCCAGCACGTACCGGTGGAGTCTCCAAACACAAACACAGCTCCAAGAACAAGAGCAAGAACTCCTCTCGCCACCACCACAGCAAAGCGGACCGGGTGCCCAAGCTGAAGCTCACCATTGACAAGAAATTCCGGGAGAGTATCAAGGCAAGCAAAGCCATCGACCTGGGCTCCACGCAACTCACCCCACCTGCCAAGGTGCCCTCTAGCCCCACTGGATCCACGCCAGACTCGCCCGTAGACGGCAGGAGTATGTACGAAGACTATGTGGACGTTTGTGCCAAGCCACAACAACCCGAAGTACAGCAACAACAGCAACGTATCGCCCCCGTTATGATCAAGCAACATCATCAACTACAGCAGCAGCAGCAACAACAACATCAGCAACAGCAGCAGCAGCAGCAGCAGCACCCTTCCACTGTCCCCATAAACAACAACAGTACTCACACGGACCTGAATATTGCTCAGGCCAATAGCCAACTGGCCGGATTGACAGAAGAATTCTTCACATCGACGTGGCCCAATTTTGACTTTGGTTCCTTGCAGGACTTGGGTAGCTTAACAGACGACCTGAGCCCACTGGACTCGTGCAGCAGCAACGGCTCACATTTCGAGTTTCCTGACTACATGACTCCAGAGGTGAGTGAGATGATTCAAGGAGATTGGTTGGACACTAGCTTTGCTTCCCTAATATCGGCTTGTACGAACTAGAATCAGTAAAATGATGGGACAAGAAAAAAAACTACCAGCCTTGAAACCCAGCTGCCTCAGTGTGTAAAACTGACCCAACATGACAAACACAAACTTGTACGTGCCCAGTCGTTTCTGTTTTCATTTATTCCACGAAAATGGAAAATTGGTTGGGCATTGCCTCAGTCGTGGTCGACGTGGACTTTTTCCTTACCACCTTGGCCGAGACACGTTTTACAGCACCGAACTGAGCTGACTGTCGGGGAACTCTCTCGCTAGGGGACCCGACCCGAGTCACATTGCCGATAGTACGCTGTGACTATGGCACCGTCTTACCGTTGTGTGTGCCCGACGAATAGTCGCCATTCATCCTATATTGCCTGGAGCAGACTTTGTCTTGACATTTTTTTTTTACATTTTTCCACAAGAATTAAACAAAATAACAGCCATAGGCTATCAGGTTTTTGTATCAAGGACAAGACGTTTTTGTAACTGCCTGTGTCATCCATCACTGCGTCTGGTAAATTTGGTAAATTCTTTTTTTTTTTAAATAATTTTGAGCTGAGTTAGTTTGATTCACAAGTCACAATTGTTACAGTACCAGAGTCAGATTGACTGTCTTATATCCATGTCACAATGCGTCACTTTCCCAGGACGTCTTATCTCTTTGTTGAAAATAGCTGTACAGTTTTATCTTAATTTTATTGAAATTATTATTTATGCAACGTTTTGTATAATACCTTAAACATAGCTATTCTACCTGTTTGTGTTGAGATTCTGTATAGTAGATTCAGAGTTTTATTTACGTATGCTCCTGGTTGTGCGGTCTTTTCGGTGATGGTGGTTTCATGTCATGCTCTAAGGGTTTGGTTTGAACGGATGCAATTCAGTCTACCTGGAATCGAAAATCAAAAAAGTATGCAGAAATGTTCAATTTGTCGACTTTTATAAGAAATTCAAACAGCAAATGAACAAGGTACAATTTACAATTCACTGAAAGTTCTCGACAACGTGACGGTTTATACTGAAGACTAGTACAGAAAAGAATTGACAGAAACAAGCGAATTGACAGATTTGAGAAAAAAGAAAAATGAAAAAGAGGAGCACTTATGTATATTTGTACTATTGTAGATTTTCCTCGCTAATTTTAATATACTATTTTGTGTCTATTTTGTACATTCAAAATTATCTTCCTTAGACTCTATCTATTGTTTATAAATGTTAAAAAATGGTATGTCTTCTGTAAAGCCGCTTGTATTTATGTACGTTTTGGACAATTTCTTTCCATGCTGCAGTAATCAACATTGTGAAAATTCTGCTCATTGCGTCAAAAATGTCTGCCCAAAATGTCCGTGACAGAAAATTTTGTAAAAAACCGTATTTTTTATTCCGACTTTTTTTGCTAAACAAACAAGCCTGTGAAACGACCACCCTTTTGGTGTTGCATTTTTCTTAATTTCCTACGAAAAACAGAAAACAATCAAATTTGTGGAAGAAGCATTCGATAAAAAAAATTATATTTCCTGACATTGTAATAATATTTTGTAAATATATTTTGAGTAGATTTTTTCTGAATTTGATACTAAAACTTTGGTACGCATAACTTATACTTAATGGAGGAGTGAGTGGATGAAGCAACTTAATAATATTTGAAACAAAACCTACTGAAGGTTGTAACTTGAACAAGTTGTGTGAAGCCGTTTTTATTTCTAGCATTTCCTGTTGTTTGCAATTCATCCTTGCATCTGAAAACACAAACAGATCTTTAGTTTTTTTACTTCGCGAATTGCTAACAATTTGGGGCAAGAACGTCTTCTTCTTTTCTGTATTTTTTTGTTATCACTTCGTAATTTTGGCAAGGTTTCGCTTAGCGTTGTCGCTTAAGAATTAGCACCTCAATCGCTGTTGAGAGATTAAGCGTCATTTTGCCGCTAAAAGCACGTGGTCAATACACGCTGATTGCCTACTCCTCCAAACAAGATACCAATCTGGCATTCACATGTGCAGACAAGTTTCCTTCTATTACTTTCCATGTGACCTGTCAACCCGCCGCGAGGCGCTTATTGGCTTTTTCTGAATGAGGCCCCTTATAGGGTAGCAAGGGGTCAGGATCTGTACCCACTTTGTCACCCGTGTAAGCGTCTTGAGGGGGTCACAATGGGCCCTTATGATGGAAAACCTCATACCTATTGTCATCGCCCAACAATACTTGGCGTTGCTCCAAACCGCTCATTTAAAAAAAGTGTCTGATAGAAAAACCTGCTTGCTTTTTTCCCCTCTTTAGTTTCTCTCGTCTGAAGGTTATGAAAGTATTTACCCGTCCTTAAGTGTCGAGAGGGCCTTGAAGAATTAAGCAACAACCCTGGACCGATTTTTTCCTCTTCATCCTCGCGTTGTTGTGTGACAACTGGCTCTGAGGCTGAGCTTTTTCAGTGATGACCTGAAACATTTTCATAGAACGCAGCGGCATTCGAAGCACGCAAAGCCCCGTGCGGTTTATAGATTTTTCTCCGGCAGTGAAAACAGAGTGGCGAGCTGGAGGCCAATTTGAAAGCCAGTGTGACGCAACTTAAAGGATTTCTCAGTTTTTCTTCTTTAATGATGCTGTGGTTACTGTGTATAGGGGTTCTTATTTAAGATTTCAGACTGTTAAAATCTAACTTTTATCCTGACTGCCAACTGTGATTGTCCATACAAAAATAGTTTTGCCACACGACAGCCTATGTCCAGGTACTCGACACAACAATTCACTGTACATGTAACGTCCAATTTTAAAGTCTCGCGATTGAAGGAAGTCCATCTTTCTTTCATATTAACGAACTTACTGTACATGATACACGATCAATAGTATCATATTGTCCTGATATATGGCCCAGTCTGCCCACGCCTTTTCAGCCCAGATGTGCCAGTGGCGTGTATTTATAGTCAGGGTCTAAATTTGGAGTTCCGATTTGATTATAGTTAGACACAATTCCTCACTTCCTGTGCAGATCGAGGCAGCCACCTTGGCTTTTTCCCCCTTCTGTATTTCAGTCACAAAATAGTTCTCAGCTTGAATACTGGAGTGTAGTTTTTTTGGTCTTGTTACAGTGATGCAACTGAATTCGCTGCCCAGATTCTTTATTACCACTCAGAATTTCGGTTGATCCCATGGTTGATGATGGGGCCTAATCGAAATCATTTCCATTAACATTTGACGGAAAATCACCCAAACTATTAGTACGCTGCTAAATTATTCCGTTGATACGTTTCCGTTGCTTTCAGAAATCGACTGATATATATTAGTACATGTATCACTATCACTGAAGCTTTGAAGGCTTAAGACATCCAGTACACCGCAAATAATCAGATTGAAAACGTGGACAGAAAATGGCAAAGTGTACTCCAGTCGCAGCAGTAAATTGAACATCGATAAAAGTTTGACAAAAATTTCAGTTTACCCAGTGGTTTCCTCGCCTGTCTTCTCTGGTAATTACCAACTCGCAAACCTGCCAGACAGCACAGGATGTTATAGCTTCGATCATCCCTCGAAAGAGATATAATCATCATGGCTCTGTCTTATGCACATGCATACATGTCCTGATTTACGGTCAAAACCTGTCTGACCTCTAAATCCCTCCCCCTACACAGTATCAATTCCCGACACTTCTTTTAACGCCGAACACCCTGCTAGTTACCGTGCCGTGGTCTCGTCAGCGTGCACCGGCGTACCGGCCTCCCGGGGACTGCAGCTTCTTCCCCGCCCAACCAAGGCCAGCCGTGTGGGATTAGTCTCTGTCTTGTCGGTATCATTAAGGGCATCCCCGTCTGACATCATTTTGATTTTACAACCTTGCATCTTGTAAAAGATCTCATTTTTGACCCTCATAAAAGGGCTCCCGATATCGTAACGGACAGAGGGTATATGGGGTGGGGGGGGGGGCTTTTAAGTGTTATGTTTTACCTTTTGGGTTGTGGAAGTAAAACCGGGAATTTAAGTAGCAGGGTCTGGGGGGGATCAAAAGATTACGTCAGGAACGCTAATGGTGCGTCCCGTGTTTTCATGTCATGATATTCCATTGAATGTAAAATGCCAGACCTGGCGACCTTTCAACCGTAGAGGTTTACTCCACTGCGCTGCTCGGTTCTGTCAAGAAATGACAAGTAATGAAAATGGTTTCCATCAAATTGAACCCACTCACTGCCGATTTGTCGGGCGCCATGGGCGCACATAAACATTCAATCGATAAAATAAAGTTGTACGGACCGCATCCTAAGCAAATGTAGTGCACACAGAAGCCATGGAATAGCACGTGATGTACACATGTTAATCAGACAATATATCAATATCATAGCGTTTCACGTCGATGTTTATCTTGTTGCGATGATTAATATTACTCGTTCGATCCGTTGTGCATAAAAAAATGCATGTTGATTGCTCATTCCCGATGAACTTGCCCGCTGGAGGGCGGTATACAACGTGACGTCATTTTCAACGCACTTCCAAGATCGTTTTTCTGCATGTAATTCAGATCGACCGTAAATGCGCACCCAAACTTGCCTACTTTTATCATGCCCAGACCGTTTATTCCCCCCCCCCGTCGTCCCATTCGCGATATCTCACTGTCTCCGGTCCGTCGGAATAATCATAAAACTTTACGATCACCATTCGCCCTCGCGATTGACCTACTGACAACATTCGCATTTTCACGGCCGACCTTCTGACATGAGTCAGGTGGGAGTTCAACGTGGAAGTCACGATATTATTCGACTAATGACTTGTCACCAGATAGTTAAAGGTGCTCTGACAAGGGCAATCCGATAGAATTAACTCGGAATACGCGCACTACAATTACCGGCTTGCGTTTTTTTTTAAACGTGCACATAACGTACTGAATGACATGTGTGCATGTAGGCCTATGTGATTCACCAATTGTGTTTACACGTTTTTGTTTTTGTTTTTTTTAAACTAGTATTATGACTTGTTTTGGTGAATGAAATTCCTTAAGGATAATTGGTGTTGATACAGATACAATTATTGTACTACAGAACTATTTCACGTAAACTTCGGATGGCGGCATCGATTTGCATGACGTCACTTGTTTGTTGTTATTCAATCTAGTAGTATATAAGCAACTGAATAACACGCTTGAACTTTTAACTTCAAGAACATGGACGGGTCAAGGTCCTGTACCGGTTCATTTCACGGCAGCCTCTTTGATACACCTGTACTTAATTAATTGTCCCACCGATACCTGCTATTCGCCCCGCCTCGAAAGGCCCAAGAAGTCCTCGTCACTTCACCCTGCAAGGTTTTTGGTTCTGGGCTGTTTGGACATTCCATGGGCTCTCGGCCTCGTGTGCGGATTATGTCCGCACATAAATTGTTACAGCGTGAAAACATGATATCGCCTGGGTACCCGCACGAGTCCCGAAGGACTTGAGAAAAAAAAGGTCTGTGGGGATGCAAGGCCAGGACGGAGGGCTTGGATGGGTGATACCGCGTGGGTTTGCCAGCAGCAGCAGATGGGGGGGGGGGGGGGGGGGGGCGCACACTGTGGAGGACTAGATTGCGTTTCCTCTTTTGTTTTATTGCAGCAAGAACCCCTTTCATTGCTCCGCTTAGTCAATACATAATTCTGAGCTTATGCACCCTATTTTGTGCTTACGGAGATAGCTCACATTATTGTGTACTGACCCGTAAGCGTATATATTACCACTGATTCTATCTTACACCTACAGCCATACGGTTTGCTTTTGAAAGCTTTATACACAAGCCTTGTGCATGATGATGTGCGTGAGGAGAAGATGTACACATCCATTAGTCGCGTTGCGGTGAAATCGTATCTGGCATTCTCCGTACACGTTTAGTCGAAATTAAAGCTTGAATTAGAAAAAAATTCATTAGAAGAACTCCACAGTTTATTTGCAATACCCGCTTTACATTTTACCGTACTAGAGTCTGAAAACATCCATCGAGCTAGAAACTGGTCTGAGTGGTCCATCTCTTTCCAACACTATGCTCGACAGGGACAGTTGGGCCCAACTCATCAAGTCATCATGAAAATGAATGAATGAAGAAGAAGAGTCTGTTATATTGAAAATATTTAAACAATATTCTGGTCCTAAACAATCTGGGCACTTTATACAAAATGGGGTATCAAAATTTGAGCGTTTTTTTTCGGATACGGGAGATGCAGTTGCCTACTTGACACCGTTCTCTATCCATCCTGTAGAATCATTCAAGAAAACCGAGTCGAACCGGAGTAACCGATTTGTCACTTAAGCCGTAACCCTGTCCGGCCGCGTATGTGTACCGAGTGCAATTTCCTTAATTGACGCTTTCCAAAATGATATAATCATTAATCCCAGAAGTTCAGCCAGAGAACTGACAGCTTCAACCTGTAACCTAAACCGCCAAGTCATAATGAATTGATTCGCAGGGTGTTGGGATCTGTTATACACACTCACGATGGATGGTAATGGGTGGTTTGGCTCTTGGGTCTGCGTGCATGTTCTTCCCTATCAACCTCTTCAGACTTTCCATTGGATACCATGGATTGATAGCAAACTCGCCGCTAAGGAGCTACTTTCTCAGTGGGAAATACATGTATGGCACGGTCGGAATCCAGGGGCCACAGAATGGGCGGGGCGAATATGACTCAAGAGGGGATGGGCCTGAGAGGTGTGCTTATTCTCAAACT